AGATGCTGTGTCATTCCCACAGTTCCCACAACTTGTGACAAGCCAAAAGTTAAACCCAGGAGTCAGCTCAGTTCTAGGCTCTTCCAGTACCCTATGCTGCCTTCTTCCTAAGGTGGCCTGTGAACCTGATTCACTTAGCACTGCCTGGATTTCTTGTGAATTGAATAATTTTTCCTTATTTTACCCTTAAACTTAAAAATGGAAAAGCAAAAAAGGCAAATCTATATCGATGGAGTACAGTTTCTGTCCCCTTCCTAACTTAGCTGAAAGGATTTTCTTTCTAGTTTCTGTGTAATGTCCTGTTCATCACACAGGTGGGGCCGTCTTAGACCTATCACTCTTTGTCCCAGCTTCTGTCAGGTGTTGCCTCCTGTGTCTTCGCATTCACCCTGTCCCTAGTTGTACGCTTGGTTGTCCTAATGTTGTGCTTCCTTGCAGTGGTGATGCGGTCTTTCTGCCTGTGTGGTCTTTTCACTATATACTACCATAAAAATGATCTTGCTAAGTGACAATCTGAGCATGTCAGTTTATTTATTTTTTTATTTTAGTCAGAGTCTTACTCCAGACTCCAGGTCTCACCAAGTTGCCCTTGCTAGTCTCAAACCCATGGGCTCAGGCAGTTCTCTCACCTCGGTCTTCCAAAGTGCTAGGGTTATAGGCGTGAGCTACTGTGCCCGGCTGAGCTTGTCAATTAAAAAAAAGAAAAAAAGAAAGAAAAGGTTTCCCTTTACCTATCAGAGACAGGAAATTATTTTCCTCAATATTGATGCTACTGAAGTTTGGTCCCAGCTGGGCTCAGTGGCACTTTGGGAGGCCAAGGCAAGTGGATCTGAGCCCACAGGTTTGAGACCAACCTGGGCAACCTGTCAAGACCTCGTCTCTACAATACGTTAAAAAAAAAAAAAAAATTAACCAGGCACGGTAGCATGCGCCTATAGTTCCGGCTACTTGGACAGCTGAGGCGAAAGGATTGCCGGAGCCCAGCAGGTCGACGCTGGGCTGACTGCGAATGTACCACTGCACTCCAGCTTAGGTGACAGAATGGGACTCCAACTCAAAATAAATAAATAAATAAAAGATTGGGTGCAAAACACTTTCTCTTAACTCTTACAGGTGTTCATACTTTCTGGACAGTGATTTTAAATAAGAGTTTTGCAGGTTATAAATTCACTACTCTTTTGTACTTGCTTCACATGATTCATGTGGCTTCAAGTTACTTGGTGTCTTTTTATGTCTTGGAGAGTCTTTAAAGCAGGGGCACGTCCGTATTGGAGTATCATCTAGGTTTGTTTATGTCTGACAAACTAAAATCTAAGAAATAGATTTATGTATTTTGGTATCAGTATGTACTTCTGTTTCTCTCACAGTGATGTCATAAGTAGATTTGCTGTGTAACAACTGTGAAAACTGGATCATTTTAGTATAGAACAAAATTGGCATCTTTGGAACCATCTTTTCTGCAGATGTTTTAAGGGTCTTATACCGGGGATGTCAAAAAAATGTATACACATTGTAAGTGTCATTAGAAGATGCTCGCCATAATCAGAATTGTCTGAGCTGGGCTCAGTGGCTCAGCCTGTAATCCTGTGCCTTTGGGAGGCTGAGGTGAGTGAACTGCCTGAGCTCATGGGTTCGAGACCTGCCTGGGCAACTTGGTGAGACCTCATCTCTACAATAAATCAAAAAATTAGCCGGGCGTGGTAGCGTACACCTGTAGTTCCAGCTACTTGGAAGGCTGAGGCGAAAGGATCGCTGGAGCCCAGCAGGCGAGGCTGCGGTGGCCGGGAGCGGCCACTGCACTCCAGTCTGGGCAACAGAGTGAGACTCCAACTCAAAAAAAAAAAAAGAATTGTCTGGACACTGACAGTAACCACTTTGAGCACCTCTTGTAATTACAGAAGTCAAATGTGACTGGTATTCATCTTTTGTTATCAGTATGTATTGAGTACTACAGTTTTAATACAGTTTTTTTCCTTTTTTAAACTCAATATTTACACCAATAATAAACAAACAGAAACCCAAATAAAAACCACAATTCCATTCACAATAGCCACAAAAAAAATGGAACACCTTGGCATCTTCCTAACCAGAAACGTGAAAGACCTTTACAATGATAACTACAAAACACTGCTCAAGGAAATCAAAGAAAACACAAACAAGTGGAAAAATATCCCATGCTCATGGATTGGAAGAATCAACATTGTGAAGATGTCCATCCTACCTAAGGCAATCTACAGATTTAATGCAATATCCATCAAATTACCAGCAACATTCTTCTCAGACCTAGAAAAAACAACACAGGAATTCATATGGAAACACAAACGACCAAGAATAGCCTGAACAATCCTCAGCAAAAAAAAAAACAAAGCAGGTCGTATCACATTACCAGACGTCAGACTTTACTATAAAGCTACAATCATCAAAACAGCTTGGTATTGGTACAGGAACAGGCATATAGAACGATGGAATAGAATTGAGATTTCTGAAGCAAAACCTCAATTTCTCAACCAACTCATCTTCAACAAAGCCTCCACCACCTACCACTGGGGAGAGGAGAACCTATTCAGTAAATGGTGCTGGGAAAACTGGCTGACCACATGCAGAAGATTGAAACAGGACCCCTATCTTTCACCATACACAAAAATTAAATGGATCAGAGACCTAAATGTAAAACCTCAAACCATAAGAACCTTAGAAAATGAAGGACATACCCTCATGGAAATTGGAACTGGCATCCAATTCCTGAACAAAACCTGAAACCAACAGGCCATAAGAGAGAAGATAGACAAGTGAGACCTCATTAAACTGACAAGCTTCTGCAAAGCCAAAGAAACCATCAAGAGAGCAGGGAGACAGCCCACAGACTGGGAAAAAGTATTTGCCAACTCCAGATCTGACAAAGGCTTAACATCTTGGATCTACAAGGAACTCAAATGTGCTAAAAAGAAAAAAACAAACAACCCCATTATAAAATGGCCAAAAGATATGAACAGACACTTCTCAAAGGAAGATATCGAGCAGCCAACAAACACATGAAGAAATGGTTAACCTCACTAATCATCAGGGAGATGCAAATCAGAAACACACTGAGATACCACCTAACTCCAGTCAGAATGGCAATTATCAATAACTCAATAAATAACAGTTGCTGGAGAGGGTGTGGCGAAAAGGGAACACTTCTACACTGTTGGTGGGAGTCAAACTAGTGCAACCTCTGTGGAAAACAATATGGTGATTCCTAAAAGCTCTAAATATCGACCTCCCATATGACCCCGCAATCCCCCTACTGGGAATATACCCTGAAGAACTCAAATCACTCTATAAAAAAGATACCTGCACACGTATGTTTATCGCAGCATTGTTCACAATAGCAAGAACCTGGAAGCAACCATGTTGTCCATCAAAAGAGGACTGGATTAAAAAAATGTGGTACATACACAGGATGGAATACTACGCAGCCATAAAAAAAGAACAAAATCATGAATTTCGCAGCAACCTGAATGGAACTAGCGTCTATAATACTGAGTGACCTCTCACAGAAACAGAGATCTGAGTGTCACATGTTCTCACTCATATAGTGGACCTTGAACATCCAACATAATACTATAAGAAAATGACTGACAGTAGTGGGAAACTATGGGGTGGGGGAGATGAGATTAATGGTAGTCAATATCTGTCTTGGGATGGGGAGACACCTCTTATCAACAAGGGTGCCTGAACGAAGCGTATTTGTATACCTAACCTTTAACTGTACCCCACTATCATAATAAAAAATATTGATTATTAAAAAAAAAAAAGCTGAAACCCAAGATTGTGATACAATCATTAAAATGAGTCCTGGACTTACCCTACAAGTAATACATGTGGGATTTCCTAGTGACTAGTTGGATGGGATAAGAATGTCAGTGGTGATGGCAGGATTTGAATCATCCTTGTCTGAGATACATGTTTTTTCTAAGTAAGTGCTTAGAAATTTTTACTATTTTCTTCAATAAATCAAAGGTTGAACTTAAAAAAAAACAAAAAACCTGAATATATTTCTTTGGCATCCTCTGTATATATGTCAGGACTTTGTACTAATGTTCTTTATCTTACTGGTAGCAAATTTAATTTCGGGGATCTTGATAACATGCTTCTGGAGTCTTAGAAAGAGCTAATTGTTACCTTCTTGGGCTGGAGGTTTACCAAGGGAATCTAGGAGAGTGGGTGTGTATCTGTTGAGCAGAAATATCACACTAATTTGACCTGTGCTGGGCTCCAGATTACTTATTGTCTGTGGAGAAAAAGTTTATAGAGTATGCTTTTTTTAAAATTAGAAAATACAGTTTTTTAAAAAGTAAATTAGAGAAAGAGAAGACTCACCTTCCCAAAGTGGGGGAGGGGGCTGAAGCCAGGAAGCATGTTGACAGCCACAGCTCAGAGAGCACATGGCCACACCAGAGTCTAGCAAGGCAATGACTGGGTATGCTTTTATGAAAACATTTTAATTACTGGAAGTGCTTTAAAATTGACTGTAATTGGTAGAATTTTATTTATTTTTTTGAGTTAGAGTCTCACTCTGTCACCCAGACTGGAGCGCAGTGGCCGCTCCCAGCCACCACAGCCTCGACCTGCTGGGCTCCGGCGATCCGCCTCAGCCTTCCAAGTAGCCAGAATTACAGGCATGCGCTACCACGCCCGGCTGATTTTTTTTGATTTATTGTAGAGATGAGGTCTCGCCACCCACGCGGGTCTTGAACCCGCAGGCTCAGGCAGTCCACTCACCTCAGCCTCCCGAAGGCGCAGGATTACAGGCTGAGCCACCGAGCCCGGCTCTTGGTAGAATTTTGAAAAGTAGGTTAAACAGAGACTTCTAATTTGAAGACCTGCATTAGCTGCTATTGATCTGAGTTATTGAGGCTTGTGTTGTTACTGAACTTCTGTTTTTACAATATATTAAAAGATAAGTGGAATGGATGTATAGCTCTCAATTTTTAATAGAACTTACTTCTATTAAACAGCACCTGTGGAATCCTCTCAAGAGGACCAGTCGTTGCTGTGTGAAGGTAATTTTTTATGATGTACTCTTTGAAAGTCTTTTTAAGTTGTCTTTGGCATATAAAGGCAGATACTGTTTTGTAAATATAGATTATATCTCAATCTCTTGTTTAGGTTCAAATTCAGCTGTTAGCATGGAACTTTCAGAACCTGTTGGTAAGAAAATTTCTGACCATATTAATATAATAATATGAAACTTTCCCTCAAGATGTAAGGTGCAAATGTGTTATGATTATTGTAATGCCTACATTTAAGACTACATTGAGTCTTTGCTATTAGTATTTCGAAAGCAGGGGAAAAAAGGGCATTATCACTGCCTTGATAAACTTAGTGACTGCAAAATGAGTATGGAGGAATGCTAAGGTCAATTTAAGCACTTGGACTTGTTTTATTTACTTTGTGAAAGGTTTCCTTTCTTTTTTGTAACTATTCTTTTTTCTTTTTCTTTTTTGAGTTGGAGTCTCTCTCGGCCAGGCTGGAGTGCAGTGGCACGTTGACAGCCACCGCAGCCTCGACCTACTGTGCTTAGGCGATCCTTCTGCCTCAGCCTTCCGAGTAGCTGGAACTACAGGCATGCGCCACCATGCCCATCAAATTTTTTGACTTACTGTAGAGATGAGGTCTCACCAAGTTGTCAAGGCTGGTCTTGAACCCGTGGGCTCAGGCAGTCCTCTTACCTCAGCCTCCCAAAGTGCTGGGATTATAAGTGTGGGCCACTGCGCCTGGCTATAACTATTCTTAAGACTTTCCTGTTCCCAAGGGGATTATTAAAGTTGATGCCAAAGTTGTATTACTTAAAGAAGAAAAGGAACTGTCTCCTAAGTCCTTTCATCTGTTATGATTTTAAACTTTTCCTGCTGTCAGGGTCTCTTGACACTGGAATAACTAGGCTGTTGGGAATGTTAGATCTCTTGTTTACATGTTGTTTGTCCTTAGGAAAATGAAACATTAAAATGGTAGTCTCTGAGTTAGAGCTCTCTGATTTGATATCATTAGTGAGGCCACCTTGAAAGCTGTTATTTATTGCTCCTGTGAAAGAGATTTCCTGCTGTGTATCCCTGGACATTAGGAAATGGAGCTAGATACACCAGGTTCCATTTGTTGTTTTAAAGTGCGGGTTATACGTCTTTTTCAGAATAGTAAGTTAAAATGTCTTACTTCAGTAGAAAATGGAGAAACGGAAATGTCCCCAGAAGAATCATGGGAGCACAAAGAAGAAATAAGTGAAGCAGAGCCAGGGGGTGGTTCCTTGGGAGATGGAAGACCACCAGAGGAAAGTGCCCAAGAAATGATGGAGGAGGAAGAGGAGATACCAAAACCTAAATCTGTGGTTGCACCTCCAGGTGCTCCTAAAAAGGAGCATGTAAATGTAGTATTCATTGGCCATGTGGGTAAGTCGCACTCATAGCACTTACAAGAAACGACCAGAGTTCTTAGATACGTCAAACATAAAACATTTTATTTAGCTGCTTGGAAATGTTTAGTGGAACCGAATTAATATAAAATGTCTTGATTTTTAATTTGCTAGATTTTTTTAACTATCAAAAAATTATAGGTACTTTTTTCTTGAGGTTTGAGCAAATGAACCATTTTGTATGGCATAGACGCTGGAAGAAAATACGCTTTGGGATATTTGTATGTAACATATGATTAGTCGAGAGACCACTGATTGTGCTTCAGCATAGTATATCTGTTCATTAATATCTTAGAAAATGTGCTCTTATGTGAATTTCAGTTAACTTGTTAACATTAACTGGATTAATCTTACTAGATAGTTTAGTTGTGTATGAAGTAAGAAATAAATAGTTTGGAGTAACTTTTGGGTGCTTACCAGGTTGCTGGTTTAGCATAAAACAAAACAAAAGAACAAACCTATTTAACTTACTCAAGTATTCTCCAATTACCTGACCTATCCCCAAAATTGTGAGAAGAAAATACAGAATTATGTGCCTTTTATTTCTTCTGTCTCCGTCTTTCCCCTGAATCTGAAACACCATACTCCACTTTTAGTAGCAAGAAATCCTTTGAAATGTGTAGAAGACACATAGTCTACTTGCTGTTAATGAAAGGAAAATGACCTAAATGTAGTTCACAGCTCTTCAGCTACTTTTGGTCACCTCAGAAGCTCCCCTTGGGTAATATATATTCTGTTGCTGCTGTGCTTGTTAGTTGAAGGTCAGGGAACAGTCTGTTCAAAAATTACTTCTTCATTATCTGTAAAGTATTTCTAAGTCATTGAGTTGTAGGGAGCCTAAGCGGCCTCATATTCCAAGGGAGAAGGTAACTACTAGGGCTTATGCCCCGAAGTCCTGTTGTAAGATTTAATTATATATGCCACAACTGTCAGCTGTGCTTGCCTTGCATATGTAGTGGTTTGGTTTTTGTCTTTAACCTATTGTTTGCATGTGAATATTACCTTTAGATGCTGGCAAGTCAACCATTGGAGGACAAATCATGTAAGTCTATGTCTTTTGTTTAATAATAGAGTTTATTTGATTGAATGACTTTTAGACATTGCAGACATTTAAACTGGTCAATTACCTGATGTTAAGAAGTAAATTTTGGCCAGGTGAAGTGGCTCCCACTAATTCCAGCACTTTGGGAGGTAGAGGTGAGAGAATTACTTGAGTCCAGGTGTTTGAGGCCAGCCTGTGCAACTTAGTGAGACATCATCAGTACAATAAATTAAAAAGTTAGCTGGGTGTGGTGGGCATGCTTGTAGTTCCAGCTACTTGGAAGGCTGAGGCAGAAGGATCACCTGAGCCCAGCAGGTTGAGGCTACAGTTAGCCATGAACTGCATTCCAGTGAGACTGATTCAAATCAAAACAAAGAGTAAATTTTGGCTGTGTATAGTGGCTCACACCTGTAATCCCAGCACTTTGGGAGGCCAAGGTGGGAAGATCACCTTGAGGCCAGGAGTTTAAGACCAGCCAGGGGCAACATAGCAAGATCCCATCTCTACAGGAAAAAAAGAAGTGATTTTTGCTGTGTGATCATTGTATTTTCTGATGGATTTCAGTCATGTCAGATTCTCATGGAACATTAATTAAATGGGTTTCTGAAAGTTGTCTTTTAGATTTTTTTTTTAAACAAAAAATGAATATAGAACCTTAGATTATAGGAAGTCTTAGTCTGCTTTGAATATAATTTACTTGGGAATAATGAAGACCAGCTATTGAATGTGGTGAATGGGGGAACTACCTTTTTTTCCTCATTAGCTCCTTAAATTTTTGTGGATTTAATAAAAGGCAGATAAGCTAATAACATGCTAAAATAATTTTTTTTATCATCTAGAAGCTATCTCAGCATGAAATCACCATGGCTAGTCTTTATTTTTTTTATTTTTTTGAGTTGGAGTCTCACTGTTGCCCAGACTGGAGAGCAGTGGCATGCTCATAACCACTGCAGCCTCGATCTACTGGACTCAGGAATCCTTCTACCTCAGCTTTTCAAGTAGCTGGAACTACAGGTGCATGCCACCATGCCCAGCTAATTTTTTGATTTATTGAAGAGACAAGGTCTTGCCAAGTTGCCCAGACTGTTCTCGAACCCTAGGCTCAGGCAGTCCTCTGAGTACTGGGATTACAGGTATGAGTCACTGCATCTGGCTATGGCTAGCCTGTAGTAATGCATTCTGGTATTGATAAATCTTTTAATTAAACGTCCCTAAATTTTTAACCCCTTCTGTACATTATACCCATTTCTTCAAACTATGTCATCGGAGAACCTAGGGGACATATCATTTTGCCTAATTAAATCATTTTAATTAGCGATCTTGCCAATTGCTTATGAAAATTTCTGCAACAGAGACCTTAAGGCAGGCTGTTAAACAGGCTCTTTAACCAAAACTCTGTGGCTGGAAGTGTCATGCCATTTGTTGTTTGTTTTCAGGAAAATGTATATTTTTTGCTGATGGGCTATAATTTTCAGTGGCATTTCTCTGGGGTTCTGTACTCAAATGCTTAGGAGCATTGCACTCTAGATGACTACATGGCGAACACAGAGATGAAAGCTAGGGACAGGGGAACTTTGATACGGATTGAATCAAGGGAAGCAATACTAAGGAGCTATTTTAAAATTATAATCTCACTTTGACAAGTAGTTAGTAAGGCCTCATTACCTGGACAGTACTGTTGGCATTTTTCTTCTTATATATAGTACTTGTATTTACATTTAATTTAACTTTTTTTTAAGAAATAGGGTCTTTCTGTGTTGCCCAGGCTGGAGTACAGTGGCCATTCACAGACATGATCACAGAGTAATACAGCCTCAAATCCTGGGCTCAAGTGATCCTCCTGCTTCAGCTTCCTGAGTACCTGGGACTATAAGCATGACCCACCATGCCCAGCTTAATTTTTACTTTTGTCAAAAAAAAAAAAACTTATATTCTGAAATAATTTTAGATTTACAAAAAGATTGCAAAAACAGTACAGAATACCCCTATACCTTCATTTCGTCTACCCTGATGGTAGTATCCTATGTAACCATAGTACATATATTAAAACTAGGAAATTAACATTGGCACAATACTATTAACTGTGATACAGATCTTGTGTCCGTTTTACCGGTTTTTCCTCCTTAGTCTTCTGTAGCCTGTAGCATTTCCTCAGTTTTTCCTTGTCTTTCATGGCCTTAGAAATCTTTCTTCAGTTTGGGTTTGACTAATGTTTTCTCACAATTGGATTGAGGTTTTCCATTTTGGACAAGAGTATCACAAAAGAAAGTGATGTTCTCAGTGCACCCTGTGAAGGGGTTGATGGTGTCTATCCTGTTTTACTTTTTCAGTGTTTTCCTTATTACTGGTGAAATCAGCCATGATTACTTGTTTGAGGTGTTGTTTGTTGGGATTCTCCATTATAAAGTTATTTTTTCCCCTTGATCTGATAATTTGAGACTGTGCAAACCTCCTTTTCGTACTTAAACTTTTCATATTTTTAGCATCCACCAGAGTTACCTTTAAAGTAGCTGTTTTCTGGAGTTGAAAGCCCCCTCAAGTTCTCTAAAACTTCCCTAATTTTACTGAGTAATTTGTGAATAATTAAGTGTTTGCTTCTTTTTTTCTAAAATGTCTTCAGGTATTTGACTGGAATGGTTGACAAAAGGACACTTGAGAAATATGAAAGAGAAGCTAAAGAAAAAAACAGAGAAACTTGGTATAGTAGATGTTTATGACACTATAACTTTCTTTTAAGGAAATGATGCTCACCTAATGCTTTTGTAGCTATTAAAATATAAATTTTGAGGTCTAAAATGGTGTTATAACAAAGGAAAAGTTTCCGTTCCTCTCATAATACACAGTATGTCAGTTCCCGATAACTTAGTAACTTACACGCAGAAATTGGGAAAGAATTCACGCCTCTGGCAATAGGAGACTTGTTGAAGAAATATAAACCATTTAATTGGGTCATTATATAACCACTAGAAACTTATATTTATACGATTTGTAATAACCAGAAACAGAATTTATATTGCAGTGGCATTTGGGGAGAAACATAATTATACTTAAAATATGGCCATTATGTAAATAAATGCTACAAAGAAAAAAGAATAGAAGGATTTCTTGACAATGGTTGCTTTTTTTTGAGTTGGAGTCTCACTCTGTCGCCCAGCCTGGAGTGCAGTGGCCGCTCCCGCCACCGCAGCCTCGACCTGCTGGACTCCGGCGATCCTTCCACCTCAGCCTTCCGAGTAGCCGGAATTACAGGCACGCGCTACCAACGCCTGGCTAAATTTTGCCTCAAAATGTATATTTTTTTATTTTATTGAGGAGATGAGGTCTTGCCTGCCCAGGCGGGTCTCGAACCCGCGGGCTCAGGCAATCTACTCACCTCAGCCTCCCAAAGGCGCGGGATTACAGACTGAGCCACTGAGCCCGGCTAATGGTGAAAGAGTTCATTTTTTTCTGCTTTCTAACTTTACCTATTATTTTGCTTTTTTTTGTTGACCTACTGGGCTCTGGCGATCCTTCCGCCTCAGCCTTCCAAGTAGCTGGAACTACAGGCACGCGCTATCACGCCCGGCTGATTTTTTGATTTATTGTAGAGATAAGGTCTTGTCAAGTTGCCCAGGCAGGTCTCGAACGCTCAGGCTCAGGCAGTCCACTCAACTCGGCCTCCCAAAGTGCTGGGATTACAGGCTGAGACCCCGAGCCCGGCCTATTTTGTTTTTAAAAAGTTAGCTGTGTTGGTGGGTGGGAAACACAACATCAGTAGTAAGGGTACCAGATCTCAAACCAGGCAAAGTGGGGACCAAAGGGAGGCCCAAACTTTACCTGTATGATGACCACTTGTATACTTAATCCTGAATTGTACCCTACATCTTTACAATTAAAAAAAAGAAAAAGTAAGTTAGCAAGCCTTGTCTCAGTGGAACATTGGGGGTCGTTTTTAAAAAATAAAACTGACCAGGCTTGGTGGCTCAGCCTGTAATCCCGCGCTTTGGGAGGCTGAGGTGAGTGGATTGCCTGAGCCCATGGGTTTGAGACCTGCCTGGGCAACTTGACAAGACCTCATCTCTACAATAAATCAAAAATTAGCCTGGCATGGTAGCGCATACCTGTAGTTCCAGCGACTTGGAAGGCTGAGGCAGAAGGATCGCTGGAGCCCAGCAGGTCGATTATGCAGTGGCCGGGAGCAGCCACTGCACTCCAGTCTGGGTGACAGAGTGAGACTCCAACTCAAAAAATAAAAAATAAAACTGTTCCTCTGTGTTAAGGGAGAAAAAAATCCTTGTCAATGTTAAAGGAAAACAAAGGAGTACAAGCTATAAAACAACAGATGATGAGGTTATCTAAATTAATGCCTACTGTTAGGGATTGAACTTAAATACATGATTTTTACTTGGCAAATAATATTGAGATAACTTCTAGCAAGTCACATTACTCCCACATGATGGGTTAATGGCCTTTACTGCTGAAAAATAAATTATTTGTATCGAATTTTGTGCCAGATGGTTATAAAAATGAAATAAGTATACTCGTTAATACTTAACTCACAGTGATATTGGCATTGGTACTAAGTTTTCTTTCTGTGTATGTTGTCATAAATAATGTTTGCTATAAATAATTGATAGGATGTGTATAAAAGCTTCAAGTATTTGAATCACGGTAGTACTAGTTTTAGTCTTTTAATTTTCATTTCACCAATCCTGTTCATGATTTATATGTTGTATGATGGCCATAAAGTTGGATGTCATCAACTAAACCTTTAATGTTAGAATATCTTTAGCTGGGCTCGGTGGCTCAGCCTGTAATCCCGCGCTTTGGGAGGCTGAGGTGACTGGATTGCCTGAGTCCGCGAGTTCGATACCCTCTTGGGCAACTTGGCGAGACCTCAACTCTACAATACATCAAAAATGAACCGGGCATGGTAGTGCGTGCCTGTAGTTCCAGCTTCTTGGAAGGCTGAGGCGGAAGGATTACCGGAGCCCAGCAAGTGGAGGCTGCAGTGGCTGGGAGTGGTCACTGCACTCTAGTCTGGTTGACAGAGTGAGACTCCAACTCAAAAAAAAAAAAAAAGAAGAATATCTTTGAGAGTCTCAGTGTTCTTCGCAATGTTACTCTTATTTTAAAAATTATTTCAGGTACTTGTCTTGGGCCTTAGACACAAATCAGGAAGAACGAGACAAGGGTAAAACAGTAGAAGTGGGTCGTGCCTATTTTGAAACTGAAAAGAAGCATTTCACAATTCTGGATGCCCCTGGACACAAGAGTTTTGTCCCAAATATGATTGGTGGTGCCTCCCAAGCTGATTTGGCTGTGCTGGTAAGAAAAAAATTTCAGTCCATCTGGATATTTGTTAGCAACCTAATTTATATCTTAAATATTTTAGTATACCTTCTAAGAGCTAGAAAAATGTAGGCTGTAGTGAACTATAATGATGTACACAGTTATCATTTTCACTTTCATCATACTAAACTGCTCAGGAAATCTTTACGGCTTGGTTTACTTCTGAAAATATGTTTTACTTTTTCTCTCCCATTGCTGTTGTCTATTAATGTTTCAGAACTTAGTGTCTACTAAATACCAAGCCTACTCATAGCCTCTGTGGGTGAAAAATGAATAAGAAACCATCTGTTTTGCGATTTTGTGTACTGGCACTAGATCACATACATTTTTTTCTTTGTAGTTACAATGGATAGAAAACAAATGGTGTTTTATAGACATGTTAGTGGAATTAAGGATGGCTTTGTTATTATATTTGAATTACAAAATATAGAAGTGTACTAGTTTTTTGGAATTTGTGGGATAGAAATGCTCCAGAAGCTTAAATCATCTAGACCTTTTTTGATTTGTGACATTTAAAAGCATCTACATTATAACATAATTTGCTTCATTTTCTTGCAAAATATTTGAAAGGAAAGATGTTTTACTGCTAGAAGGGTATGCCTGAAAGTGTAAGAGTAAACGAATCATCTTTTGGAATTAGGTCATTTCAGCCAGGAAAGGGGAATTCGAAACTGGATTTGAAAAAGGAGGACAGACAAGAGAACATGCAATGTTGGCAAAGACAGCAGGTGTAAAACACTTAATTGTGCTTATTAATAAGATGGATGACCCAACAGTAAATTGGAGTAATGAGAGGTAAGCTTTGGTATCTTACTGTTATTTTATAGATGTGTTAGAGGAATTAAGGACAGTTTTCTTATTTCATGGCTTTTTCTCTAAGGGTTTTTCTAAACCTTAATTTGTTTACTGATGAAACTAGAGTTCGTTTTATTTATATAATTGAGTTATTTATAAATATTCATAGGTATGAAGAATGTAAAGAGAAACTAGTGCCATTTTTGAAAAAAGTTGGCTTCAATCCCAAAAAGGACATTCACTTTATGCCCTGCTCAGGACTGACTGGAGCGAATCTCAAAGAGCAATCAGATTTCTGCCCTTGGTACATGTAAGTACCATTTCATTTTCTTTAAAAAAAAAAAGCATGTCTTTATAAGTTAAGACTGACTGTAACCTTGCCTTTAAGAATGCCAACACCAAGCCGGGCTTGGTGGCTCAGCCTGTAATCCTGCGCTTTGGGAGACTGAGGTGAGTGGATTGCCTGAGCCCACGGGTTCGAGACCCGCCTGGGCAACTTGGTGAGACCTCATCTCTACAGTTAAAAAAACCCAAAAATTAGCCGGGCGTGGTAGCGCACGCCTGTAGTTCCAGCTACTTGGAAGGCTGAGGCGGAAGGATCGCCGGAGCCCAGCAGGTCGAGGCTGCAGTGGCTGGGAGTGGCACTGCACTCCAGTCTGGGCGATAGGGTGAGACTCTGACTCAAAAAAAAGAATGCCAACACCATTGCCCTCCTCCCCTCCATTTTATTTATTTATTTATTTATTTATTTGAGTTGGAGTCTCACCCTGTCACCCAGATTGGAGTGCATTGGCCGCTCCCGACCACTGCAGCCTCGACCTGCTGGGCTCCGGCAATCCTTCTGCCTCAGCCTTCCAAGCAGCTGGAACTACAG